AATCACTACCCATACAGTTACGCAAGGGACATACGCAACCCATACAGTGACACAAGGGACATACACTACCCATACAGTGACACAAGGGACATACACTACCCATACAGTGACACAAGGGACATACACTACCCATACAGTGACACAAGAGACATACACTACCCATACAGTGACACAAGAGACATACACTACCCATACAGTGACACAAGAGACATACACTACCCATACAGTGACACAAGGGACATACACTACCCATACAGTGACACAAGGGATATACACTACCCATACAGTGACACAAGGGACATACACTACCCATACAGTGACACAAGGGACATACACTACCCATACAGTGACACAAGAGACATACACTACCCATACATTGACGCAAGGGACATACACTACCCATACAGTGATGCAAGGGATATACACTACCCATACATTGACGCAAGGGACATACACTACCCATACATTGACGCAAGGGACATACACTACCCATACAGTGACACAAGGGACATACACTACCCATACAGTGACACAAGGGACATACACTACCCATACAGTGACACAAGGGACATACACTACCCATACAGTGACGCAAGGGACATGAGGACTACCCATACAGTGATGCAAGGACATACACTACCCATACAGTGACACAAGGGGACATACAGTGTCCATACAGTGACACAAGGGACATGTACACTCACCCATACAGTGGACACAAGGACATACACTAATCATACAGTGGACACATGACATACACTACTCCATAAGAAAGGACACAAGGGATACATGACTACCCATACAGTGATGCAAGGGACATATACCACTCCATACATTGACACGCAAGGATATACACTCACCATACAGTGACATAAGGGACATACACTACCCATACAGTGACACAAGGGACATACATCACCCATACAGTGGCACAAGGACATACACCACCATACAGTGACGCAAGGGACATACACTACTCCATATACAGTGACACAAGGGACATACACTACCCATACACAGTGACACAAGGACATACACTACCCACAGTGACACAAGGGACACACTACCCATACAGTGACACAAGGGACATACACTACCCATACATTGGCTTAAGTGACTTACACTACCCACACAGTGACGCAACAGACATACACTACCCACACACTCTAAAGCACTCTAATCGCTAATGTTCACAACTGTCTTATCATTTAACATCTCTAAACATCGATCCATCTATGCCTTACTTGCTGTAATCTTCCTATCCATGGGCCATCTCTCTTCAACAGTTATCTACTCCACCTATCAACGATCCCTCTCGGCATTCTCTCCCCTTCACACACACACACACACACACGCACACACACACTCACGCACACACACACACACGCACACACGCACACACACACACACACGCACACACACACACACACACACACACACCATCAGAGGGAGCAAAATCCACAACAAGTTAGGCATCATTTTCGGAGGCACTTTGAATTCCCTCCCCCTCGTGGCCTTAGATCAGAAGGCGGCCCTCTCACTTACTGCGAGCATTCATCCAGCCACTCCTCAGAGATTCCTTTCATCCGTCTCAATCCTGTTTATTTCCTTCAAAATCCCCAAATTCCCATGAAAATACTTGCATATAGCGGCGGAGAGTGCCTTAAATTGGGTCCTGACCGTCTCGAGCGATTCTGGTCTCTAGGTCACTAGTCCCGAAGACCGGCCTGTCAGGAAGCGCCCGGAATGTTTTCAAAGTTGGAATGGGAATTTTGTTGCGTTCCAGAGAGCCTAGGGGAGAAAGTTTGTATACGGACCGCCCACTCTATATTCCGGGAAGAAGTTGATCTTGGAATATGTTCTCGAGATTTATAGGAGAGACTCGGAGGTTTCTCTTCTCTCTGTGACTTTCCAGCGATAAATGGGAACAGCTGATGGGGGCGACCCTCACCTTGCGTTGTGTTGTCCTTCTACGAGGATCACAGCCATCTTGTCCTCAAACTTGTGGTCATGTTGGGTAAGGTAAACAATGATATTTGACCGCGTGTGATCAATAAATTCAACAGTAAGATGACGACGCCCTTGCAACACACCGACTTTGACTAAGCCTACAGGACTATACGAGGTGGACGCCATCTTGTTAACATCCTCCCCTATCCCCTACTTTTCTTCTTCCTCCCTCCTCTCTCCTCCCCTTCCTCCCTCCTCTCTCCTCCCCATATCCCCCGACTCTGCCTTTTATTTTCCTGCGTGACTGTGCTTAACGTCACTCCTGATATTTACTGTTGGGGGCAGAGGAGGAGCGGCGTGATGGCTGCCTCGCCCGGCCCCGCACCCCGGGAGGCCAGGCTGGGGTGAAGGAGAGTGGGGGAGGAGGACCCCCAGTTCACCAGAGGGAGAATCGTCCCCTGTTCACTAACTTCCCACGATAGAGGCGTCTAAGCTCACCTTGTTACGTGTGTACACTACAAAAGATGCATCGACATTATATTTTATCTACAAACATGAGATTTACAATAAATTCCTTATCCCTGTTTATGGATGCAGTTATCTAATCTCAATAGAAGGCTTATATTCCCAACATATATTCCACGGGAGCAGAAAGGTCCCAGGAGCCAACGCTTGGGGTAATATAAATGACTTGAGAGATGTGAGGGGAGCTCAGTCCTGGTCGGGGCCTTGAGGTAATGCTTCCAGTCCTCACCATCTCCTCCCTTCTTCTTTCACGCCATCTTCTTCACTTTCTCGCCTTTCCCTCTAAATTTTCCTTTCCTGTATGTTTTTTTTATAACTTCTTACACTGTCCTTTTAATCTTCTTTGGTATCTCTTTCACTACGTATTTTTTAGTGCAGCCATATGTCTTAGCTCTCAGTCTCCTCCTACCTCTGCCACACTTCCCCTTTCCTTCTTTAGGGACACTACCGTCGTCAATTTCACTGTTCCTCGTCCCTCTTTTGGTTTCACGCTCCCCCCGCGCCCAACTCTTCCCCCCCCCCTTCCTGCCTCCTAGTTCTCAAGGTTTAACATGACCTTCTCCTCCTTCTCCTCCTTCTCCTCTTCCTCCTCTTCTTCCTCCTCACTATCTCTCTTCACGACCCTCCTCAGTTTATGTCTGCTTCAGGTTTTACTCTTCATCTCACTTATGTTTATATTCCTACTCCTTAACGACTACATTTTTCTCTTTTTTAGTGTCTGCGTTCTTCTTCCTCCTCCTCCTTCACAGTGTCTTTCTTCCCTCTCCCCCCCCTCCTCCTCACTGTCTACCTCCTCCACGCCCCCTCCCCTTTCTCCTCCGCCGGGCTGCTCAGAAAACCCCCTGAGTGTAGCGGGAAATGACTCAAACCATGTGTTGCTGCTCATCTGCATAATCCAATCAGGCGCCGCAGTGGAGGGCCTAAGACGCGGCGGTGGCGGAGTGGGGGAGGTTGAGCCGCGGGTGTGGGGAAGAATTAGGGGCTACGGCGCGCTGGTGCTGGTGGTGCTACTGGTGCTGCTGCTGCTGCTGGGTGCTGCTGCTGGTTAAGGAGAGTGAAGTTTGTGCCCACGGCGCTGGGAAAACATAAGGGCTGAGTCTTGAGGGTGGAAAAGGATAGGCTACATGAAGGTGGTAGGGAGAGGAGAGAGTTTAGGCTGAGAATGTGAGGGATTTATATTTTGATCTAGAGATGTGGAAACGAAATAGGAGGTTGAAGCAGGAGTGAGTACAGTAATGTGCAGTAAGGAACGTAGCTAACAAGTACCGAGGGCAGGACTCGAGCCCCAGGTGTACAACACTAGGTAATAATGACATAGGAAGTGTAAATCGGGTCACACCGACTATTGGTAAAGGCTTCACGATCAATGGCCCGTGGCAGACGTGAGCCACAAACAAACTGAAGGATAAAAACAAAAACAAAGCGCAATGTAGGTCATAACAGGAGACATCTCAGCCCTCACAATTCCCGAACAGAGACCAGGTACAGTATATGTTAGTGTGACCTTATGAGACTCGGCTGGCACTGTACTAACGATTGGTGACAAGTTTGTGTGTGAGTGATGACAAGGAAGTTTACCTGTAATATATAAAGTGTTTCATATATATATATATATATATATATATATATATATATATATATATATATATATATATATATATATATATATAACATTTTAACTATTACAAAACAAAGTGTTGAATGGAGTTCAAATTATTTATACATTTTCGTGTACTTTTTCCTGTGTATTTTCAGTAATTTTATACTTCATTCATGACTTTTGTATTTCTCATCAATTAGTTTAATATATACTGTCTATGTATTGGACATTTTTTGATAAATAAGCATGCTGTTATTATTTATAACCCAACTTTTTTATATATAACCATATTTATTAATCTTTTTCTTTCTGTCTACCTATCTAACGCGTGTATATATATATATATATATATATATATATATATATATATATATATATATATATATATATATATATATATATATATATATATATATATATATATATATATATATTTGTGTGTGTGTGTGTATCCATTAAGAATTTTATTAACCTGTATGAACGTGTAAATATATAACTTAAGGCCTTTAGCTTCTAATTAATCTTCTACATAACTATTAACTAATTGCCCCTCTAGACCACACTAACCAGCTAACACCCGTGGTCTGCGGGCTGTGGTGAAGGCGGGACCTGAAGGCGACTAACCCAGATTGATGGTGTTCACGTGAACCACACACACACAACATTCATTCTTTCAGGTACTATGAGACCGGTTCGATCAGACCTGGTGTGATTGGCGGGTCTAAACCTAAAGTGGCTACACCTACAGTGGTTGATGCCATCGCCAACTACAAGAAGCAGAATCCTACTATGTTTGCCTGGGAGATCCGGGAGCGGCTTCTCTCAGATGGTGTTTGCGATCAGGAGGGCGTGCCATCTGTCTCCAGTATTAACAGGTGGGTGAAGAGCAACAATGACTAACCCGAAACCCGTCGTTCTCTTCTAGATATTACGAGACTGGGAGCTACAAAGCCGGTGTCATAGGCGGCTCCAAACCCAAAGTAGCGACTCCCGTGGTGGTGGATGCCATTGCCAGGTATAAACGGGAGAACCCGACCATGTTCGCCTGGGAGATCCGAGACAGGCTGCTTGCGGAGACTGTTTGTACCCAGGAGAACGTACCCTCCGTGTCCTCCATCAACAGGTAACGTTGGCGGTAGACTGGAGACCTACACCTGGCCTGCCAAGCCTGCCTGCCTGCCTGTCGTGGCCTAACTGTCTGGCCTGCCTTGCACACAGATCATCAGACTTGCTTTTTGTTTACCTGACCAGCCTGCACCTCCCCTACACGCTACCTGAAGAAGGCAGCGTCTTTTTGCACCTTTTCGTGTTTGTGTGTAGTCCGTCTGGCAGCTTCGTCTGTGTAGACCAGTAGTGTTTGTTACATGCACTGTTTCCATGTACACATGTACACTTTCATGCACTTGCGTTTGTTTTTTGCACGTAGATTTGTGTACCGTAGTCGAAGGTAGGTGCTAGACAAGTCGAAATGTAGTTGTACTTAGACCCAACATAAATGACACTGAAGCAATTTAATTTTGTGTTTCTTACGCAACTATTTCCCACTGTGTATTACATCATTACATAATTAATTATCCCTACTAATGAGAACGTGTTAAAGACAACACATCCTTATCGTTTTGTCTTAAGAAAAGAATAAAATCAGTACTTCCCATAGACTTGTGAAGGAAGTCATATTCACTTAACTAATATAAACTCTAGTATGTATCCTCAACATGAATTAGTAAAGCAAGTGAAAGAGCCTTCAGATGAGGCCACGAATACGCACCTCCTTTATAGATTAGCTTGAGGTTGAGGTGACTGTGCAGGGCTGTCGGCTCTTGACGCGTCGGTGTGTCTTGAAACCGTGAATGATGAGTCAGATTTGATAATAAAAGTAAAACAAAACATAACAATGGTGGACTCACAAACATTAACGTATTACACATATGATAAATATTTACAACCACGCAAAAGAAATACAATAGAGGAAGATTCTTGGTATCATTAAATACGGCCCAAACAACAGGTACTACTTACTACTATAGAACAATGTTAGTGGGTCAGATACTGGGTCATTTGGAATTTGTCTAGCCTGTATTATGACAACCATAAAGTAACCCCCTCCCCCCTCCCCCTCCCCCTCCCCCTCCGAAGGTTCACAGCCAAAAACAAGAGTATCAATTTTTTTTTTCGTGACCTCAGTTTTTTATATTCTCAACATCCACCAACGAAGCAAAATTTTTAATGGATCATACAGGGGCCTCTGGTGAAGCCATTATCTCTCAGTCGCTCCGGGATTCGTGATTTTACGAGAGCTCCGTGTTTTTATACTCTACACGGGCTCAGTCCTAGGATTAAAAAAGCACTCTCACCATTGTGCTTTGGGGACGCCGAACAGCCCTTGGTGTTTGCTGATGAGTTTAACTATGGATTGCAACACAGTAATGCGGGGTTTATGTTTAATACGGGGGCGACCCTCTCGTTATCCTCTTCCTCTTCGCTCATTTGCATTGCAGATTGGCGCAGGCGACTCTCCAACTCTTCTAGGGCGCGCCCTGCCTAACTTGCCAGCCATTTATTCTACGCATAAATCTGCCTCGGGCAAATATATTTAAAAAAAAAAGTTATTTGGGTGTTCATTGTCCGTCGAATTTTGAGCAAGAGATCTGGCTAGATTCCGGCGGGAAAGACGAATAGGAAATAAGACCAAATTACAGTGGTGTTTCAACGGCCTGTTGTGTCTTACGTACCAGCCATCACTCACAAGAGCCAACCTCATCAGGGCGTTGTTGGCGTCGCTAATGACCTCATTCAGTTTTCGTCGGCGTCTAAAAACTGCCGTGGTGCTCCAGACCTCGAGACCATTCACATCCAAAAGACCTTCCACCATGTGAGAAGTTGATGACCCCTGCTTAGGTCCTCATTGGCCGAGATGGCTCCTAAAGCTGGTGGATGGCAGGGAGCGGCGGTGGAGGAGGAAGAGGAGGAGGAGGACGAGGAGTAGGTGGAGGATGAGAAGAGAGCCTGCGCACCAACACAACGACGGAGGGTGCCTCTAACACCCTCTCTCTCTCACCACCACTTGTCTGTCTTGCTCTTTCTTACTCTGTCTACATTATAACCCGAGGGAAAAGTTTTTCATTTCTTACTTCCATTGTTTGGTACGTAAGGGCAAGAGGTGAATAACTGGATAGAAGTAAATAAGAGAGAGTATAAGAAATAAAGTTGAGAGACACAGACAACGACAACAACAAACTCGAAGAAAAGGCAAGGAAATCTCCGTTACTCCGTCTGGGCTGCGATGCAACCCGTATTTACGAGCTCTTTATGTTCCTAAAATCGATGATCAGCCGTTTGATGAGGTTTTCATGTCCTTCTCGTGTAGTTGTATAATGTGATTTGATACTTGATTTTGTTTACCTTATTTTTTTTATTGTTAACGTAACTTAGCGGATCATTTGGAGAAAGTTCTATGTTCATATTTACAATAATGTGACAGACAACCACTGAAAAATAATACAATCTTGTCTTATTAATATTTCTCTTTAGTTCTGTTCCATCTCATAAGAACACAACTAATACAGGAACAAGAGGGAATTAAGAGAACCAACTGGATTTCCTCAGCGTCTGCACAAAAAAGAGGGAGAAATAAGGTTTCTTGAGGCGGGTAGTACCGGAAATCCTTTTCAACACAACGCCGAGCATGAAAGCATCGCAAACTTCTAGGGAGTTTTTGTTATATATTTTCCATCCAGTAAGCCTTTTAATTGCACAATACCGTAGCAAATTAAACGTTTTTATTGGCACTGGATATAGATAAACTATTTTCCCAAGAAATGAACCAAGATTTTAAAGACTTTCCCTATGAGGAGAATCAGCCAAGCAACAAATATGGTATCCGCCATCTTGATCTTCTCGGCGGGAAAACTTGCGACGTTGACAGATGAAGATCAAGCTGCGCTCCCGACTAAATTAGCTTTTCCTTATTTGAGGGGCTGGATTAATCCCCTCCAGTTGGGATTGCCTTCATTTGCTCGTTCCCGGAGAACCTCTCAAGGCTGAAGCTGAGGAAATCCTGGAGGAGATTTTTGTGAAATATGGAGAATATATCACGTGGATTTATTTAAGGTGTCGAGAAGATGTGGGGAAAAATATCTAGAATTTAAGGAACGCGATGAAAGTTAAGATAATTTCTGATGTATATTTAACTTTTTATGTAATATTTATAAAACGGTAATATATTTAAAATCGACTTGTGAATTATCTGTTTGCTGTATCTCTCTGTTTGTGTGTCTACCTCTTGTGATCTGTCTGTTTATCTTCCTCTCCCTTTCCTCTTCCCTGTTCGCTAGGAGGAAATCTCTGGGTTAACAAGATAATCATAAAAGTCAAGTAGGTGGGGATGAGTGGCCTTGGTGAGCGTATTATCGGTCGGGGAACAGCGCCAGCCTCCCCTCCGCCCTTTCTCCTCGCTCATGTGTCCCACCAGTAACAGAAGGACCGATGTTTACAAGCGATTGAACATCAATACGCCTTCATAAACAGCCACCCGTCACCCAACCGGCCGGGCCAGGCTGTCCTCCGTCGAAATGGCTTACTATGTACACATGTAGTTATCACCCCGGGGTAGTTATGGACATGTTCCTTCTATCTCTCTGATGCTTACCTGAAGACCGGGGCTACTACATCACCTGCCCCCATATTCCGTATGACCAACACTGAGTTATAAGAGAACAGATAAAGTCAACCGTAAATCCACGTCTCTCTTATTCTGTTTATAATGAAACTGAAATATTATGATCGGTGACGTCAACCGAAAGATCATCATTGAGTAAAAAAAAAGAGAGAGAGAGAGAGAGACGGGTTTACCTTGAATTCTCTACAGCCATTTGAAGAACACGTATCAGACGTTTGCCATGAGAACCATGCCTTCGCTGATAATAATCTTCATCTGCTGTAGAGAGGTTCGTGGCATCCTGTAGTGGACACGCCGTGATGCAGTTCATCTACCAGCAGAATGATGATGAAAAAGGAAGTCACCCCTTCCAGTTACTTCTTTTACAAAGTCCAAATAAATGGGGCAGAAATAATGAGAGCATCGCCAACTGTGAGTCTTCCGGCGTGAACATGGCGCCCCGGACCGTGAATAATAACTGGGGCCTCGCCAGCCTTCACCACAAGGACCTTCACTCACGTCAACTCACGGTGGGACTGAGAGGCGAGCACCAAGTAACAATGTATGATCCCTGTCTCCCACCACTTGTTAAACAGGTGCAAACTGGTGTGCTACTGTATATTGGTGCTTATGATGGACAGTTTGTGTTGTTTGTTGGCGTTGGTGAAGGCCAGTTTGTGTACCTTTTGGTATGTGTGACGAGTGCCTGCTTTAGGTATTTGTAAGGGGAAACTGTTGTTGGTAATATTTCCAAATTTGATCATAACAAACACTAACACTAACTTTCAGCTGTCCGTAACACACTAAACTATGCTTCATACACTAACACTAACCTTCAGCTGTCCGTAACACACTAAACTATGCTTCATACACTAACACTAACCTTCAGCTGTCCGGAACACACTAAACTATGCTTCATACACTAACACTAACCTTCAGCTGTCCGGAACACACTAAACAATGCTTCATTCATAAGAGACTGCAAGATGCAAGTGTTTCTAGTAATCTAAAAATTAATCTTGTTTACCATAAATCTTAATTATATTGAAATGAGGGAGTTTGTGTTAGTTGTTGATATTCACATTGGTGTTAGTGTTTGTGATGGTCTAAACGTTGTTGGTGTTTCAATGTTCATGTTGGAGTATTTGTCTATATTTCTGTTGCCTTTTATGTTCATTTTATGTCTACTCTTCATGTTAGAGAAATAAAGACTATTTTCCTTGTTGCTGAGATATATAACCAAGACGCTGTGTGTACGTGACGGTCTCTGTTGTCTGTGGTCGTGATCATCTAACGGTAATTGATACTTAAGGAATCCTGAACATTGTTAACCTTCCTCCTATGTTTAACTCTCGGTAGTTTGCTGTTTATATTTACTGACTCTTGCCAGTTTTTTGTTACATGAGTCATCAAGAGGGCGATGACGCAGGAAGTCATTTAAATCACTCAACACGATTACCTTCTCTTGATGCTCCTAATGACCGCCTATTGACCGATTATTAACAGACCTTCTGGTGGGTGAGTGTTTGGTAGGGGGAGAGAGACGAGGATAAGACCCGTGATCCAACATCAGCTGACGGACCCATGAAGTTTATATCCTTTCTGTAAGTTAGGAATATATAGTCATTTATCGATTAACTTTTCGTAAGTTTTTCCTAAAGTGTCGCTATAAAGTTAGTGTATTTAAAAAAAAGGAAAATAAAGGGGTGTTGATAAATAGTGTGTGTGTGTGTGTCGAGGCTGGTGTTAGAGGGGGGGGGGGGCGTCCCTTGGGCTACGACAGGTGGACGGCGCCCCTCGGTATTGTCCCTCTGTTCCTACCCCTACTACCTCCACAATACCCGCGTTACTTCTGCCCGGGTACACTCGCTCCCTCTGACACTTCCTCAACACCTTTTTTTGGAGGACCATGTTATCCTCTTAATGCTTTGATATTTGTTCGTGTCCATAAATTCAACAGCTTAAGCAGCGAAGGAACAATAATTTGCAAGACTTGAACTATGTACTATAATGTTAGGTTGGCAACTCAACCGCGAACAGAGCCGACGAAAACAGCCGAAACCACGACCTAAACTTGTGACACCTCGCACTCATCCGCGGAGGCTTGTACTACCCGACCAAATGGGAATCCAATGCTCTCAATGTTCACTTAATTATTGCACTCAGCGAATTGATGGCATAGTGGGTAACTCATTGATGTAATTGATGAGTAAATATGTCATGTGTCTGGTCGTTCGGTCGGATGACAGTGTGTTCCCCGTCGGCCTCACGCACCCTTCCCTAGACGCTCGTTCTAAGAGACATTTCCCAGTGTGTTCCTAACAGAACAATTTAAATAACAGTTGAATAGGTAATTCCGAGTGAAATGTAAAGAAATAACAGTAAACAAAATCCAAGGAGGTCCCCCTCACCGGTCGTCCCCGGAGAGTGTTCCAATAAAGTAAAAGTGCATCAGGGGAGGAGTACGAATTAATAAAGGAATTTATTAGCAATAAAGGGAGGAAGACCAAATGTAGGCGCGGTTCCCTAGGGAGAGGGGACGAGAGGGGCGGCCCAGTCCTCTCCTACGCCGCCCACTGTTGTCGTCCGCGTTTTCCCAACCCCGACGACACCGCCCACTGTTGTGGTCTTTTCGTCACCATGACGACGACGCTTACTGTTGTCGTCCGTCTCTTCAGTGGTATAGTGACGAGGACCTTATCACCTCGATGTCTTTGTCAACTGTTGTCTTTACGTCTCCGCCATGAGGACGATGACCCTCGTCGTCGTTCATCGTGCCAGCCAAGCCGCCATCATTATTTATGTTGGAGAGACTGTACAGGAAGTGGTGGTGAATGGTACATTGTGAAAAGGCGATGAAGTAATACGCATACCAAGTCAAGGTGAGAATATTGACTAAGGTTATCAATAGCCTCATGTCCTCTGGTTCCTCGGACCACAAACAAACAATTAAGGGTTGTGTGCGTGCGCGACGCCTCGCTGTGAGTGTTGGCTAAGGGCGGAGACTCAACAAATACACACACACGCTCACTCTACACGTTGTATATGGCCTGTAATAACCCACAAATACCTGATTTTCTTCATATTATATTTATATGATGATTGCATTTCCCATTTTCAGACAATTTAGTCACACGAAAGCCTTTACGGGCAGCTGGGAGAGACCCTTGGTGGGATTTCATTGTAGCATCGGTCGTAACGGGTTCATATTGCAGGCTACGGGTCATCTCACGGTGACATTAACTTACTGTCTGACACCCGAGCTGTTTACCCCTCTCAGTGGGAAGCGCCCGAGCACAATGTGGCCTTCACTTATGTTCCTTCCATTAAAATGAACCTCTGTGTACTCCCACGGTAAGGTCTAGTGCTACTTTATCAAAACACAGAAACTGGATCTCCTTTTAGACACGCACCTAAGTATCACAATCACTCATACCGCCGCCGTCGCTTTCAATTTCTGAGTCGGCGTGACGCCATTTAGCGAGTTTTACAAGGTGTACGTCGACCCTCATCTGAATAGAGTGGTCAAAGGTAATTTACCCACCTGTTGACCCTAACAGCTCACTTTTGCGGTAATAATTAATGAGCGGTGGCGACGGAGTCAATTATGTAACACGTGGCCATTTTGTGACTCTCTCTCTCTCTCTCTCTCTCTCTTTTGTGAGGGTTCTCTCGCAGCCTCATTGGCTTTCTCATTCATGAGAATTCTCTCGCTGACTGAATCTTCCAATTGTGAAACGCTTTTTGGATCACTCGTTCATAATTATTACCACATACAACTCACTGTGCCTGGAACGTATATCATAATCATTACTCACACCCTGACTAATTTTTCCCAGTCATATTATGAGCAGTGTTGTTTGGTGTAGAGAAGTGATCACCATAAGCACAGAGTACAGGTTGTTTCCAACTCACCTGTGTGTCCATGATGGCAGGTGAAGAGGCAGGTGGTAGTGAGAGAGGATAAAGGGGTGTGTCTTACCTGTGTTTCCACGGTGGCAGGTGGCTTTGAGTGGGGGTGAGGGGGAGGAGGTGAATGGGGGAGTTGGATGACCGGGGACGGACGGGGGATGAGTGGGGAGGGGAGTGGGAGGTGTTTGGTGGCCGGGTAGGGGGAGGGCGAGGGGGAGTAAGGGGGTGTTCGCTTATCTCAGCGTGTCAGCTCATTGTTGACCCTCGTAATTGTGAGGGCGGGGTGCTGGAGCGCTGCTGGTAATCGATGCCAACACCGATATTAATTCGAGTGCGTGAAACCTGATCAGCAGGGGCGAGTGTGGGTCCGTGGGTTGGTGGGCGGGCGACGGGGCGTGGGCGCAACCATTCCTCAACGCCCTGTTTGTCTTGTAATGCAACCACGAGCGGCGGGGTTCCCACGGGCGGCGCGCTGCACTCCACCACGAATTCTCTGCCGGTTTGGATTACAAGAAATGCATGCACGATTATTATTATTGTTTTCTTATGCACCATCTTAATTTGTAATTGCTAGCTCTCTGTAAGTTGATACAGTGAGAGTGCATGTAGCTAGATGTTACATAGGCACTTAAAGTTTTAGTGCTGGAGTGTTTTACTTACATTATGGATCTTCGTGTGTGTGTGTGTGTGTGTGTGTGTGTGTGTGTGTGTGTGTGTGTGTGTTGTAGCGCTACAATTAGAAGAAATATCATACATCATATGGAGTTGTCTTTAAAATATACATTTCTATATACTGTATATAACATTAACAAATATGATTCTTTTTGCCACATGCTAGACGACCACACTGAATATTTACGCTCACGTCCAAGTCACCTGACACCCTATCACCTTTCAATTACCTGGATGACCTTCGTGGCTTAGCCTACACATATCATCACCAAACTTCTTTCTCAGGAACAGAGCTGCTATCAATAACAAAACATTAGCATTTTGACCATCATCCAATCACTTACAAGTCCATACAACAGCTTCCTTCACCGCTCAAGTCTCAGTCTACAGTTTACATACCAGACCACCTTCATTGCCCTTAATGACCACCACTGTCTTGCCGTGTCCACAGAATCGTGCGCAACAAGGCGGCGGAGAAAGCCAAGCACGGACTGCCCGGAACTCTGTCCCCAGTGTCACAGGCGACCTCCGTCATCACTCACGCCCCGCCAGCGCCCCACGAGACGGCCCTCCAGCGCCCGGGGTCCTACTCCATCAACGGCATCCTCGGCATTCCTCCCCACCACACAGATCCTAATGGAAACATCAACAAGAGGAAGAGGGAAGAAGGTGAGTACAGTTAGAATTCTTATGATTTGTTTTTCTGTACCACCATTATAAACCTGTTCATTCTACCTCACCTTGATGTTCATGGTAGTTGAAACTTGCTGGTGGCAGGAGTTATTGTACTAGTAAACCTATCATAGAAATGCTGCAACTGTGAGTTCGCTTCGTAAAATCACCTCCCTTTCTCGATGCTTACTAATCACTGTCCGGTGAGATTGTCACAAGCCATCACCCTGCCGCCAACACCCGCGTCAGAAGCGAGGCGGCGGTACTCCGGGTGCAAGAGCTGGTTATCGCCCCCAGCCTCCCTAATCTCCCCACCCGTCGAGGATCTCCGTCATTATCTCCAGGGCGACGAAACGAATGATTTTCCAGCGGGGTTATGATGGTCCCTCGCCGTCCCCGCCCCTCACACACAACCATTTTTCTCACTTGCTCTTCCTGATTTCATTTGGGAGTTCCTCATGCCGATTTTTTTTTCGATAAAGGAGGGGCGTTTTTTAGTGCTAGTATTATATATATATATATATATATATATATATATATATATATATATATATATATATATATATATATATATATATATATATATATATATATATATATATATATATATATATATATATATTTTATGCTTTTCATTCGTATACAATTATTTTTCTTTTTGATTCCGTGAGAATTATTTCGCTATTTGTAATGTTGTACCCCTCCCTCCCTCCCTTCTCCTTGCATCATCTTTCCCTCTCACTTTCTTTAACCATTTTATCACGCTCATCTTCCGCTAAGCGGTACATAAAAACGCATCAGAAGTCATCCCCAACACCTCTGTGATCAATACAATCAGGTTGTGGTGGCCCTGACCCGCTGAGCCCATACCTAAGGATGAATACAGCGAGCCTCATCCCCCACCTCTGATAAACTCTCCCTTTCGCGATAAAACATTGTGTAGTCCTAAGTGAGAAAATATTCGGCGTGAGAAAATAGCCGCAGCTGATCCCTTGGTCACGCCAGGATCGGCACCGTTGCCCTCAGAGTGAAGAAGGTGCAGCGTTGCCAGATCCCAGCTCCACCTCCCCTCAATTTACAATACTTTTTTCCTGTTCCTTCAAAATTGCTTTATTTTTATTTTTAGAGGAAACTATTGCAGATACTTTTTTACTATGGCTATGTTGAGTTAGAGAGCGACATATCTCACTGTTAGATCTCAAGTCGATTAAGAAGAGGTTCGTCACCACCTTGATCAGACTGGTGCAGGTGTTCTTGCCGACGACAGGGAAATCCCAGTGGTTGTGGGGAGTCTGAAGCTCCGCCTCTCTATTCTAAAAGTATAATTCTTGCTGTCAATTCAATCATTGCTGAAGATAATTGACCTCTTATCATTATATGCTCTATGACACAACAGTGATAAGAGATGATGTAGATGTAAGTTATGACATAATAGACGACAGGAGAATAAAAATATATCAAGGCCTGAGTAGTGAGACCATCAGTCATATCCTCCCTCTTCCGTGGGACTCTATAGACGGGTGTTAGAGGAAGCAGCATAACCGATAGATGTCACTGGGTTCATTACCAAGGTTGAGGAGCCCAGCCCAGGACACGGAAGGCGTGCGTGTAATAGGGTAAGGGTTGAGTGACCCCCAAGAACATAGAGCACCGGAGGTAGAAAATGGAACGAGGGGGACGGGGGGGGGGGGGGAATAGAAAATGGTTAAATTAGGTTTCTGATCACTGGATACAAGTGTAATAAAATTCTCACAATAGCAAAACTTCTACAAGCAATTTATACCCCAAATGGTTAATAAATATGTATAAATGCTTAACGTGTGAGCACCTCTATTTACAAACAGTATATTGCCTCGGAAACTTAATCAGACAGAAACGACAAAAACACAGCCACTTTTCTGGTCTTGCCATTTCAGTGAGCGCGTGACCACCTACTTATCAGAGGGGAAAATCTTATTGGTCTGGACGCTGGCCGAGGGTTGTGGATGTGTGAGGTACGAGGGAGAGTGAGGAGAGGGGAGAGGTAGAGAAAGAAATGGAAGAGATAGTGTCGACAGATATTTCTTTATTTTTTAGTGTGAAACGTTTAACAGATTTGTTTCAGGCTTCGGTTATCATGTATGTAGGTGTTGATAGTTAACGTTTTTTCTTTATGTTTTTCTCTCCCTCTCTCCCTCTCTTTCCCTCTCCTTTCCCTCTCTCTTAACCCTCCCTCCCTCTCTCTTTCTTCTCTGCCTCTTCACCACAAGATTGATAGACTCAGTAATCGGTATCCTCGTATTGATTTACCTCTCCCAACCTTCATTAAAGCCGACTTTCTCATCGATAAAAGTGCATTCAGCATCTTGATCCCCGAAAGCCTTGTGTAGAAAACAATATTCCTTCAGATGGGGAACTTTTGAGATTATGTAAATCTATAAAAGCGTGGTGGGATCAAGACCCTATAGAGGAAGTGCACCACCAGGGGAAAAAAATAGCACCCATCATTAACCTCCTTCCAAGAGCTTTCACACAGGATTGAATCCCCCACTCTGGATTAATACTCGACTAAGTGCGACTTGATTTACACCTACCGGAGCTGTTATATCCACGGCCGGAGTTGCCAACCTTTCTCACCTGGTGACTCGATCAATGCAGAGTGAGTTTCTTGCTCCTGTACAGCGACTCATTTCGATATAATCAACTTAGGTTCCTCCAGGGTATTTGTGAGAACATATTTGGCGAAAAAGAATCGTGATGTGACGCGCCAATAGGGGATTATAAAACCCTTTTTGAATAATGTGGAAACTCGTCCGGTTGGCATCCGTGATCGGCCCGCCAAGAAGACGCTTCTCCCCAACCTATCGTTCTCAGTTTTACCACCCCCCTGATTGCAATTAATTTCGCCCTGGGAAATCGCTTATGCCTCATTTGTACAAGTTAAAAAGGATGCCAACCATTAAAACCCATTTATTCAATTAGATTTTTTTTAAGGAAAATTAAGAGCGCGTCTCTGATGACGGTGGCAGATCCCCAGCCACAAGATTGAGTGATTTTCCGAAAATGTACGAGAGCAACACGGGTCGGGGTGTTGTTTTACAGGAGCGCGTGATGACAACAGTGTTCTGGAAGTGCGAATATACCCTTTTTATTGCACCAGAGCGAGCATCACGATATTAAAAATGAACATAACATCACCGATCAAAGAAAATATTGCGGAAAGTGTATTACGCGATATCCCAAGCGGATTTATATTGCACGAGATTGACATGAAAATATATTCAGCCATTAACTTATGATCCCAAGCCTCTCTTAAAACTAGAAGGAGACTCTCAAAGGCCCTAAACATTCCATCAGATTAATGAGTTGGGTGTGCGTGCGTGTATGGATGACTCCCCTGTGTTTACCTGTTGTCTCGAACGCCTGTGAGAATTATCGTACCTCGGGGGCTGCAGCAGTAAATTAGTCGCTGCTTGGATGGGATACCGTGCTAATCGAAATTTAAGCATCCGAGGCTCACTGGCTGCTGTTCTGTATCAACAAGTTTCACCCCCGCTCGTGATTAGATCTGATCACCACGGATCGGCTTAATTTGGTATTTGGTAGCTGTTTTGGTTCACTGAATTTTGCTGTTGGTATTTTTACGTGTACAGTAGATTTTTTTTTTGTGTGTTCTGTGTCGTTTCTTTTTTGTTTTGTTTTGCTTGTGAATGGAACATGTAAATGGTTACTAGTAGATCCTGTATCTTATTTCGTTTACCTTATTTCCCTTATTTTCCTTATTATAAACATTATCTTTCACGTTCTTTATTTATTTAAACTAAATTTTTTTTTTTTTTAGGCATCGAGGTAAAAACTTACGTCTGTCCTTACATAAGAAAACTTTTCCCATGTGTGTGTGATGTGTTCCTCCCGTCGCTGTAGAGAGAAAGGGGAAACATACACCCAAATCCTGGTCACGGTGAACGAGACACACACACTGGCCAGGAGGGACTGAGACGCGTGTGTGGTTACGTTGTGCCGACCAAACCACACTAGGGGGAGGTTCACAAGGTTACTCTGTGTGCTGGTTTCTGTGTTCATCGTGCGTGTCTTAAACCTTTATCTTACAGAACCTCAGCGACTGATACTTTGTTGTACTATTATCTGATATTAATATGGCTTTCGTTATAATGACATAGAGAAAATAGAGGTAGAGAGAGGCGGAAAGGTAGACAGACATAAAGATATGATAGACAGATAAAGGAAGAGGAAAGGCGTGAAAATATGACCACATCCTCAGAACTACAGTAGTTGAAGTCTGGTAAACTCTCCCACATAGATGTTTGTTAAGGCTTTAGTTTTAAACCTTTACCTTACTGCATCCATGCCGCCAGCCACCGAGGCATTAGCTTAACAACCCAACTATCTACCTGTGAGTTTGCATCTGCAGAACCCCGTCAGGCATAACACCGGGGAATATACGAGAATTACTGCGGATTGAAGGTCGAAAGTCATACTAATGCCTTCGTTCCCTGTCCCTTAAAGCCCACGGTGATATAGTGCCGTCCTTTCCCGTCGCTTTATATGCAAATTAGGCGATGGCTCGGTAATTAAACTCGGGCTTAACGAGTGATCAGCAACACTTGCCCATTTTACTTGTAGATGAATGGAAATGGCCGCCATCGTAAATATGTCGAGGGTGGTTAGGTCAACGCTTGTATATATGATGGCCTTGCATAATGCATTGTCACTGACTGTTTACACTGACACGAGTCGGGCGTGAGCGTCTGGGATAGTTAGACCCTCGCTTGTTTTATGTAATAGCCTTGTATAATGCACTGTGACTGGCTGGTAGTAGCACCACCAACCCCAATGCAGAGAGAGAGAGAGAGAGAGAGAGAGAGAGAGAGAGAGAGAGAGAGACTAACACTAAATTTGGTACAGATAAAATTATTCGTTGCTCGCCATCTTCCCTCAGTCACTATTCATGTTAGTAAATAAAAACATCTCTGAAAATCAAGGGTTAAATTAGTTAT